ATAAATAAAATCTTTAAAAAAATAATAATAATAATATTAGATATTGGTGGTAATGTGGTATATGTTTCAGCTCTTCAGAAGAGCATCAAAAACCCTAAAACATGTCTGCCTTACTAGTCAATAATTTCCCTTTTAGCAACTTCACTTTTATATACTCAATAAATATTTAGTGATTATCTATTTTGTCCCAGCCACTGTGTCATGTGTTTAGAAATGTTAGTCATAGATCCTTGTTTTTAAGGAATTCATAATGTAACGAAATAACATAAGGACTACCAATTTATACACAAAGACGTTCATCGCAGAGTTATAAACTGGGGAGAAAAAACAACACAGAAAAACCCTGTTTGCCTAGTAGAAAAATATTTAATACATTATGGTATATGGTTAACTGACATATGGCCATTGAAAATGGCATTTTTGAAGAGTATTCAATGACACAGTAAAATGCTAATAGGCTAATTTCAAAAGTAAAATTGAGGCTCTAACATACAATCACAATTTTGAAGAAAAACATAAATGGAAAAAAGACTAGAAGGAAATAAAAAATGTTAATAAAAAACACTTGGCAGAGCAGGCTTATGGGTGGCTTATTTTTTATTATCTATACCATTCCATAATTTTAAATGTTACTGTGTCATAACACACATTTCACAATCAGGAGGGGAAACACGGAGCATGAAAATTTAAAAATAAGGTCAGGTAGTGAATCTAAGACAAGAGGAATGAATGCTAAAGGATGGAAAAAGATGCTGCTAAATGAAAAAGTATATTAATCTTGAAAGATCACATAAATTTTGAGGTAACTGATTATATACATATGTTAATTTAATTATTAGACTAAGAAAATCACAGAAACAGAGAGGATAATTGACATTCATCTTACTCTAACCATAAGTTCTTAGAGAAGGAACAGATCAGATACCCCCAAAAGTACACACTGTAATAAAACCATATTTTTTTCTTATAAGTCAGAGATAAGAGTACTAATTGCTTCAAATAGCTCAAAGGTTCTCCAGAGTCTGAATAAGGTCCATACAAGTCACAACATAAACATGTAAAAACACAAAATTAAATTTTTAATCTCATTTGGAATATGCTTTTTAAAAGATCTGGCTTGGGGCGCCTGGGTGGCTCAGTCGTTAAGCATCTGCCTTCGGGTCAGGTCATGATCCCAGGGTCCTGGGATAGAGTCCCATGTGGGGCTCCCTGCTCAGCGGGGAGCCTGCTTCTCCCTCTCCCACTCCCCCTGCTTGTGTTCCTTCTCTCACTCTCTAATAAATAAAAATTATAATAATAGTAAAAAAATAAAAGATGTGGCTTTTTGCTACTGGGGAAATTTATCCAACTGAAATCTAAATCAATATTATACTACTCCCTTAAAATCAAATTTAACAATTAAAATTGTTTTATAATTTACCATTATAGGAAAGTTTTGTGTGATGTTTCTCTCTGAAAACAGTAATAAATGCTGGCTGATAAGCTACTTTAAACGACTTTCAAACAAATTACTTCACATAACCCCTTGAAAATACAATTTTTAAACTAAACATATTATTTGTACCTGAAAATTTATTTAATGCATCCTTACTTCCATTTGCTTCTGCTCCTACACGCTTGAACTGTTGTACAATGGCGTTTAATTCAGAAGAGCGCTGAGAGATTCTATGTTCAGCTATTCGAAGACGTTCTTTCAAGGCAAGAAACTCTCGTTGATAAGCAATCAGTTTTTCTAGAAGCAAAACCAAAAGTTTTTAATATATTTAAAAAAAACATAAAACATAACTGTAAGATCAGAAATTTTAAAGTCACATTTTCCAGAAAAAGATATTCATTTATGTATTGATCCAGAACTGAAAATAAGAGCCCCAACCAGTTATATATAACAAAGCCTTCACTAATGTAATGCTCCTTTTTGCTTTTTTAGCGTTAGAAAGCTATTTATTTTTTTTCCCTAAGACTTTCTTTAAATTTCTTTTAATTTAAATTCAAGTTAGTAAACATATAGTGTTTTATTAGTTTCAGGGGTAGAATTTAGTGATTCATCAGTTGTATATAATACCCAGTGCTCATTCCATCACATGCCCTCCTTAATGCCTGTCACCCAGTTACCCAGTCCCCCACGCACCTCCCCTCCAGCAACCCTCAGTTTGCTCCCTATAGTTAAGAGTCTCTTATGGTTTGTCTCCCTCTCTGTTTTTATCTTATTTTTCCTTCCCTTCCCCTAATGTTCATCTGTTGCTCTTAATATCTGTAAGAATGCAAGCACTTTCTACTTATCACTTAAAAGAAATATAAAGATAGGGAGAAAAGGACAAAAGTTTTTAGGATTAACACTTCAAGCATAAAACTAACATCATTTCTCAAAAGGTTCAAACAGTTATAAAGACCTTATCTGAATTAAGACAACAGAGATGAAGTACTGAAACTGATGGTAATATATCTAATATTAAATTACCTCTTTTATAGCATAATTACTTATTTCCATAGGCCATTTCCTCTGTACTTCCTATTCTGCAAAGATTTCCCTAGGCCAGACTTTGGCCAAATTCCTGATTCCTAAAAACCCTATCAGGCAGATGTAAAAAAAAAAAAAAAAGTGGGATGACCCCAGTTAAAAGACACCTGTTTTAATTTGAGAGAATCACAAGTCAGGAAAACCTGGTCTAGGAAATAAAAGTGGATTTTATGAGGATAAATGTAGGCATTGAAATCACAGCATCAGACAGCTCAGAGAGACAAAGTGTAGAGTGAGAAGAGGCCTAAGGACAGAACCTGACATCAAAATCTAAGAGATGGTGGAAGAAAAAGCATTCATTAATCTCGATCAGCAATGCTGAAAGATAGCTGAGGCTATGGGAATAGGAGTAATTTCCACAACCTCATTAAACTAAGAGAAACCCAAACAATGGTTTTCAACTTCTGTATCAAGCTGGATAATCCAAGGCTACTATTTTGACATCTAAACAAAACACACTTTAGAAAGACTACTTTTTATCTAATATTATTAACTCTGCTTTATTCAAGGATAGACTCAATAAGAAACAGACTTACAAAAAATAAATCTGCATGTTTCATAAAGCTAGTCTTAAAAACAGGCATTTATGTTGTTCCTTGTCCCTTACACAAAAGCCCACACAGTAAACATCTCTTCAGAATTTTGTGGCAGGGAAAAAAAAAAGTCTGTCCTGCTCAACTGTCACTCTTCCCTATATTGAACAAGGACAGCCATGTAAGCAGCTGTATTCTGCCTTCACTTGCTGGGTGTAGGAGGGAAGGAAGGAGAAAGCAGGCTGTGATTAGGTTAGGCATATAGGGAGCTCTGAGGTGCCAGCAAGGTCCTAGTGACGGACCTGGGTGGTGGTCCAATAAAATTCATTATTATGCATTCATAGTTCAGGCACTTGTCCATACGCATAAACTCATTAAATAAATGTCAAAAAGATACTATTCACAAACACAAAACTATAAACAAGCATAGTCTAACAAAAACTGTAACAATTATAACAAGAGATACTCAAGATTCATGTGATTAAAACTACAAACCCCTTACTGACCCCTATATTAAGAGTAAATGAAGTCACCTCTTAATCCTAAGTAAGAAGACGCAAATTTGTAAAAAAAAAAAAAAAAAAAAGATAAATTCTACCCTAAGTTAAATAATAAATTCAATTCAATACCTTTCAAAAAAATAATGAAACCTTTTTGGAATATGACTTTTTACATGTGATTCTAAAATTCACTCAGAGAGAATGTGTTTAAAGAGGAAAAAGGGCGCCTGGGTGGCTCAGTTGGTTAAGCGACTGCCTTCGGCTCAGGTCATGATCCTGGAGTCCCGGGATCGAGTCCCGCATCGGGCTCCCTGCTCGGCGGGGAGTCTGCTTCTCCCTCTGACCCTCCCCCCTCTCATGTACTCACTCTCTCTCATTCTCTCTCTCTCAAATAAATAAATAAAATCTTAAAAAAAAAAAAATAAAGAGGAAAAAAAAAAACCAAATAATAAAGGGGAACTTGCTCTGAGATCAGAACACACTAGAAGGCTACAGAAATTAAAACAGTGTGGACAGGAGCCAATTACACCAAGCAGGCTGCGTCCACAATCAGCTTGAGTGAGCGGTCCCTTCAGTTCTTCTCTCTTTACGTGAGCAAGTTAAAATCCTCTCCTGAATACTCATGCAGTGCTGAGACTGTGCTTTCTTGATACCATCCACCCAAAAGAGATTTAGAACTCTCTGGAGAATAAGTTTAAGACGAACCTCAAACAATCTGGTGTAAAGTAAGAAAACACTATTAAAACAAACAAACAAACAAAAACAAAAACAAATACCACAGGACTTGTCGAAAGGGCACAACAAGGTACCTAAGGGGCTCCCGATCAAATTAGGGACACATTTAAGTACAAAACAAATATTGATAGTAACAGATGAGGGTGATGGGTTTCTTATAGCAGAGTGCCAAATAATAAATGTAGAAGGAATGATGAATGTTGGGGAAAAATCACCATTTTGCAGCTATCACAGCAATAACTGATTCAGGCAAGAATCAAAAATAGATGCTAAGACTAGCAGGTCAAAGTGTGCTGAGGAACGGGGTATGTATGTCACTTCAGAGTATCTCCCTACAAAGTACTCATTAACTTACAAAGGAAAAAATATGCTAATTTTACCATGGAGAAACCTGGCAGATATCTTCCGTTAGTGATCAGAGTTCACATCAGCAACCAGAAAACAGACATGACATGCCTCCTGATGTGAGGCACAGAGGACACGTCTCATTTGTGTGGCATTCCTGCCAAAAATGCCTAATCTAAATCTAATCTCAAGGAAACATCAGACGCATCCAAACTGAGAGACAAGGTACAAAACAAAAAGCTTGTACTATAAAAAAAAGTCATGGTCATTGAAGACAAAGGCTTGTGAGGAACTGCCACAGACGAAGAGACTGAAGGAGCCATGACAACTCAGTGCAAACCATAGTCCTGGGCTGAAACCTGGACCAGAAAAACTCAACGCTACAAGGAACATTACTGGGAAAAAAATAACAGAATATGGGCTACAGACTAGATATTACGCCAATGTTAAATTTCCTAAATTTGATACTCATACTGAAGTACTTTAGCAGAATTTCTTGTTCCTAGAAAATAAACATTAAATTAGTTAGGGGTAAAAAGGCATGATTTCTGTAATTTATACCCAAAAAGTTTGAAAAGAAACAAAATATCTACAAATAGAAAAATTATAGAGGCAAAACAGTCACAACAGGTGAAATGTATCGAAAAGTCATTTTGTACTGCCCTTATGACTCTTCTTCCTTTGAAACTTTTTAAAAAAGTAAGCTGAAGGACTGAATGGCATACAGGTTAGGTCTTTTAGCAGCTCTTGATTGGGAAGGCGGGAATGGACATGAGGGCAGTCTCCGTCCTTCTGTGCATTTTCTTGGTACTCTTTGAAACCACTTCCCAGAGTCCAGTTTCACCAATTAGGGAGAGTAACCAGTACCAGCAGAGAAATGTCCCCACCCCTAATCCCAAAACACTGCTCTGCTTTGAGGTGACCTGGCCAGGCTTCTGAAAAGATCCCTTGGGCCCACAGAGTGCTGGATAAAGTCCTAAGTATTTTCTTTCAGCCCAGATGCTAGTGTTGCTGTTAGCCCAAAGCCCACAGCTATGAAAGGGCCCCAAATGGGTCATTTCCCATCTCTCACAGCCATCCTTGGTTTCTAACTCCATCTTTCCATATTAAAAGGGTTCTCTCCATGACATCAGAGCAAGTCCATACTCCATCTAGAAAGCCACGTCAATGAAAAAGAGTGTGTGTGGTAAAGCCCTCAGCTAGACCTGCTAGGAATACCACAGAACGCTGTTGGCTCCGCTAACAGAAAAGAGTTACATATAATCTCCCCACAGCCCTCCTAAGAGTGCAGTCCATCCTCTGTCATCTACCCAAACACAGGCTCACTAGTGACTTCTAGAATTTTCTCTACCTATATTTCCCATAGTATTACACTGCTCCCTTGAGGAGAGTGATATGTCATCCCAGAAGTTCAAACTTTAGCATAATAGACAAAAAAATTCCTTCAAATTAGTGATCACATGTTTGACAATTCTGTTCTCAACATTAGTAACACAATTCTTATTTTTGCTTTTCTTTAATCATTTCAATCAGTTTCTGTTGGGGGATTGGCAGGAAACTGTGTGGGAACTCTTATACTATCATCTTACTGGGAAATGCCTAGTTTTTTTTTTCATTGTAGACCGAATCTAACTTTTTTTAATTGCAGAAAATTATATATCCAGATGAGACAATGAAAGTACAAATCATGTTGCATGAACCTAAGACTCTAAAACATACAAAATTTCCAAAGAAACCACTTTATTTCCCTCAAAGCAAATAATCAAGCCAGTTTTCCACGGAAAAGTGTACCAATAGGTCCTCAAAGACTTATTAGGTTGAACCAGATGAAATTGCTGATATTTGATCATTTTTGACAAAAAATGTCAATTTCATGTGCTTCAACAATTTAAAAATAACAGCTTTGGACTCAACAATTTAAAAATGTGTGAACGGGCGCCTGGGTGGCTCAGTTGGTTAAGCGACTGCCTTCGGCTCAGGTCATGATCCTGGAGTCCCGGGATCGAGTCCCGCATCGGGCTCCCTGCTC